ATCTCTTTTCTAAATTGATTTATTTTTCAAACTTGCCATTCATATCAATCACTCAAAGGTAAAACTGCAACTTTAATTTTTTTTTTGTTTTAATAAAGTTTATATTATTTTTTTATGTAGAACCAGCCTCAGTAGTGACTGCATGGGTACTTTGGGCATTTCCATGCCTCTTTTTATAAGATTCTAATGGAAGGGGTCTACTTACAACCATGCCAAAAAGTTTTAACAACAACCCAAAACTAGAGAGACGGTTTCAACAATTTACCCTAACTATTATTACAATTCTACATTTGTTGCTATGAGCTCGTTGAAAATAAAAAGCCCCCCAACTCCTGGTGGGAACCACACCGGGTAAAGTATCCCGGGACCTCTTATCTTACTTTCTTGCAATTCGACCCAGCCATGTAGCAAACCAACGTTCAAGCTGTATTCCAGCATGAAGTAACCAAATCTCGCAACATCAAGCATGGTTGAAAATAAAAAGTATTTGCTATTATTTTGTAATTCAGGCAATAACACAGGTTAGCAGCTCTAATTCACTATTGGGATTCGTCTACGGCTCTATTTGTAATTAAACCTGTTTATGGGCCGGGCCGGGCTTTTACTCTTCATTAATGGAAATATGTTAGGCCCGAGCCCGAGCCCAGCCTGACCAACGGGCCTACAACTTGGGCCCGAGCCCGGCCGTGATAAAAAGCCTGAAGCCCGAGCTCGAGCCCGAAGCTCGACCTAATAAAAAAAATTAGAATTTTTCCCTATTCAATAATCAATATAAATCAGAATTTATTTACATTAAAAAAAGAATATAAATTCAAAATTTATTTACATTAAAAAAAAGAATATAAAGAAGGGGAAAAGGATGTGGAGAAGAAGGGTTCGGTTGGAAAAATAAGGAAAAGAGATGAAAAAAAGAGGGGTATTCGACTAGGGTTTTTAGGTTTAATTATAGGTCAGGCCGGGCCAGGCTCGGGCTGGGCTATTTTGGCAAATCCCGAGCCTGGCTCAAATTTATTGCAGGCTGGGCTTTTTGGCCCGAGGTTAAGCCCGCGGGCCCATATACCTATTCAAGCCCGTCCGGGGGCCAGGCCAGCCCGTTGGGCCACCTGGTCCATGAACATGTCTATTTGTAATTACTAGGCCAATCACATCTCTTTACATGCGAGTCGTATAATACCCGAATTCTCATAGTTAGGGGTGGATTCGAGCCGAGCTGAGCCGAATAGTACCAGGCTCGAGCTCGGTTCGAGCCAGAACCTTGAGCTCGAGCTCGGCTCGAGTCAAAAGTTCATAAGCTCGAGTTCGGCTCAGCTCGGCTCGTTTTATATTTTATAAAATATTTATTATATATTTTATAAAAATAAAAATTATGTATAAAAAATTTTATTTTATATTTAAAAATTAGAAATTATAATATTTTTATTATATATATTATTTTTTATAATTTTATTATATATATTCGAGCCGACTCACGAGCCTCACGAGCCGAGCTCTATTAGGCTCGAGCTCGGCTAAAACCGAGCTGAGCCAAGTCGAGCTTTTCACGAGCCGAGCTCGAGCAGCTCGTGAAAAGCTCGGCTCTTGTCACCCCTACTCATCGTTATCACAATTCTCGTCCTTATTGGCCAGGAGTCTCTCTATCATTGAGAAAGAGGCTTTGGCCGTAGGGCCCATTGGGCTTTATTTTTTTTTTTTCATCTTTCATCTCGCAACAGAAGACAAAAAAACTGAACCCACTTTATCCGATGTACTTGTACACAAACCCCTCTTGTTATACATTGCAGTGACGGTTGGAGTTGGCCCATCTGCTACTATTACTCTACTACCATTCCTTCCGATAATTATGACCCACTACAAAGATCCATTGAACCTGGGCCATAAGTACATATCCATCCCCACCCACCCAATTTTGACTGGACCCACATATCTTCAGGATTCATTTGCTTTAGGGAAACGAGTTCCGTGAATGGAAATGCAATTAGAGAAGACTGAAAGTATAGTGGGGAACCGTGTGATATATGAGATTTATTAAGTTAAAGATAAACAATAGAAATATATAAGAATATATAATTGCCTTATACAAGGTTTAAAATATTGATACAGGGCGATATGCCGGTAAAGTGTATTGGCCTGTATCAGTACTGTTTTTTTTTTGCTTTATTTTTATTTTTTTTTTGAAATTGGTTTAGAGGGGCCGGTTTAATGCCAGTCTACCCCCTGAACCACTTGTCAACTTGAAACACCCCTTGCAGGGGCGTATCGGGAAGGCTCCGATACGTAACAAAATTTTGATCCTTGGTTTTATATAGTAATTAATAGTCATCTATATTTTGTATACTATTTTTAATAATTTTTTACAATAAAAAAATAACAATAATTAATTTTAGATAGGGTTGTTTATCGAACTTAGAGATGGCAATTTTCTCCATTTCCCCGATCCCTGTGGGGATCTGCCCCGAATGGGACGGAGATGGGGAAATTTTCATTCCCATTGGCGAGGACGGTTCAGGGACGAGGAGAGCACTCCCTGCCTTGCGATCCCCGTTGCATGGGATCCCCACTAATATATATGTATATATACACATACGTTTATATATGTATATATGTACGCATACGTCTATATGTTAATATTTTTAAAAATATGGTTGAATATGTTTGAATGTTTTCTAATAGGATTGTAAATTTTAATTATTTTATTTTTATTTTTTAAAATAAAATAAAAAAAATAATAGTTGGCACTATAAAGAATCACGGGGAGTGGGGATCTTCGTGGAGATGGGGATGGGGATAACTTTGTCCCCATTAGCGGTGGTGGGGACGGGAACGTGGATGGGGATTTACATGGGGACGGGGATGGGGAGAGGCTCCTCGTCTCTGCTCCACCCTATTGCCATTCTGAATCAACCTAATGAAACTGACCAACCCGATTTCTAGTATTTCTAGTCGGCTTTGGTTCAAAAATTTCCTAACATGACTGGATTAGATTAGTTTCACTTTGGCCATTTGTAAATTGACAAAAATCGAATGATCCGACCATAGATATATATTAATATTTTATATTTTAAATATATTTTTTTTAATACGGGAAAGTGGGAAAATTCCAATATTTCTTAGGATAAAATAGTTTATATCATAAATTTAAGTTTTAAATAATGCCATTGTATTTTTTTTAAAATTTAAACTTAATTTTTAAGTTTAAATTTTTGAACCGATTGACCAAACTGAAAATTGACCCAAACCAATATAACCTGAGTGACCAGCCCCCCAACTTGACTAGGTCAATTTGGTTTGCCAAACAACTTACAACTCAACCGAACCAACCTGTGAACAATAGTTTAATCCCCAATACTTATTAAAAATTTATAGAGAAAATACACAATGAGTTAAATTTAAAAAGCTAAATAACAATAGTTTAAACTGTAATAATTATTGAAAACTTTCTATTAAATTAAAAAAAAGAAAAATAGATTTATACATAATTATTGAAAAATATATTATTAACAAAAAAAATAAATAATTACTAAAATGCAATAAATATTAATTTTAGTATAGATAAATATATATTAAATAAAGATTAAGTTTTTAAAATTATTATTAATAAACAATAATTTTTTGAAAGCTATTTTCTAGAATTATTAATTGGTATAAATGAAATTAGTTATTTGCAATATTATTTATTTATTGAAATAATATCTCTATTTAAATTTTAAAATACTAATTACTTGTTGAATTTAATAATCCATAAAATTATAGTACTATTAATACATATTTTTGTTATTTTAACTATTTAAAATCTAGTTTTGTTAAATATTTCGTTATTTAAAATACTTAGTTATTTTGTTAACTATTTAAAATCTTAATCTATTTATTATAATTGAAAGCTATTTAGTAACTATTTAAAAAATATTATTAATTGATTTAAAATATTAATTTTAACATTTTATTATTAAGATATTTAGTTATTAAAATATTTAAATAATATTTCATTTTTAATGTTATTTGAAATATTTAAATACTTAATTATTCATTGTTCTTTTTTAAAAAAGGTTTATTTTTCTTTGAAATTGAGATAAAACGTTTTTTCTATCCTATGAAATCATAAAAATGGTATTTCCTCCATTGATGAGTCTCATGTAACTCAAGAAAAAACATTTTATTGAAAAACGACTTAACCAAATCTAATTTCAGAATCCATTGGAGGAAATGCCCATTGGGTGTTAAGTTGGAGCCAAACACCATCTTTATCTTCATGAGTCTCACTTAAACACATGAATTAGAAAGCTTTATTTCTTTTTATTTTTTGAATCGTTCACCAACTTAAATTGCCTTCTTATTCTATTCAATTCTGGTAATTTTTTCTCGCATAGATTTAAGATTTGTACTCTTGGTTCGTTGGCCAACTCTGATATTAAAAGGCCACAGAATCCACCCAAACAACTCATCAACTACTCACCGGTCACCCCACCATCAGATTTAAGTAAGACCCATCAATTACTAGGTCCCACTTCCATACAAAAAATGTTAATCCATTATTGAGATTGACCCTAGATTTGTTCTCTTCCGAAGATGCAGGCTTAACTAATGCTTTGTTGTACCTTTTGATTTAGTAAATTCAGCTTTTTTTGTCTAGGTCCCACAGTCTCCTTCACAGAGCGCTTCTCAAACCAACCTCATAGTATGGGAGATATTCCGGATGTGTGGCCAGAAAGAATATACTGTGAGATCGATCGGCGTGAGAAGCACTTTGTGGAGAGCAGATCGGAACTCCCCTTACTAACTTGTCCCAGACAAAGTAATAAGTCATTCATTTCAGCGGTTCAGCCACTGCAACTATTATCAAACGTCTTAAAAAATGTTTTCGTCAAAGTCAATTGAAAGCCGCAGGCTTGGAAAGGCGTATCGAAACCGTCTACGTGGCTAACTTTTTCAACTTTGGAAAACCAATATATTGGAAAACGTACATTAGAATTTAGAAACGACATCTCGGAACCGTCAACGTGGCTAATATGTTACATTAATTACGATTTTATCTTCGTTCTTTTCGGGATAAACTTTGCTGAGTCAACTCCGGAGAGATTTCCCCTCCCATTTTCTCTCCGTGCTGATCTACCAGTGATCTCTTTGGTTTACTGTTCTTTCGCTTTTCTCGTTTTCTGTGTTGGTACTTTGCTTACAGGCTTTCGAAGAGGGGTGGATCTTCTTGGGGAAAAGAATCGAAGAAAATGGAGAAAGTGGAAAGATTTATTGGGTCGATTGATCAGGGAACGACCAGTACGAGGTTTATAATCTATGATCAGTCTGCCAGGCCTGTTGGGTCTCATCAGATTGAATTCACTCAGTTCTATCCCCAAGCAGGGTAACGGTTGAAGTTCTCCTTTTTGTTTTGCCTTATCTCTGCAAATTTCATTTCTTTTTTCCAGCTTATGATAATTTGTTTTAAAATTTTAGTTTTTGTTTTCTGGTTTTTCTTGATGCTTGGTTAGATGGGTAGAGCACAATCCGATGGAGATTCTAGAGAGCGTACGGATTTGCATGGAAAAGGCCATTGATAAGGCGACAGTTGATGGGCATAACGTGGAGAAAGGATTGAAGGCAATCGGCCTCACGAATCAGAGAGAGACGACTCTTGTTTGGAGCAAATCTACTGGTTTACCCCTCTACAACGCCATAGTTTGGATGGATGCGCGAACCACTTCTATCTGCAGGTTTGCCTTTTCACTTTTCCCCTTACTCCCCTCACCTCAGTGTCCTCAATTTTGCAGAAACCTTTTATATTTGTTTTTTTCCCGATTAAGATATTATTCTGAGTGCTATAAATTTGAGATTCCACAAAAGTTAATGTTTTGAGATTTTCGACTAGGATCTGGGTTTTGCTATTTTTAGAGTTTGGTAAAAGCAGAAAATAATCAAAATTTGGAAATCTTCATCTTTTGCCGTTTGCAGGAAATTAGAGAAAGAGTTACCAGGGGGAAGAACTCATTTTGTAGAGACATGTGGCTTGCCTATCAGTACATATTTCAGTGCAGTCAAACTCCTATGGCTATTAGAAAATGTCAGTGCTGTCAAAGAAGCTGTTGGAAAAGGCGATGCTCTGTTTGGAACGGTCGACACTTGGTTGATCTGGAATTTGACAGGGGGTTGCGAGGGTGAAGACAGAAACCAAAACAAGATAACTGGGATCCATGTCACTGATGTCTCAAATGCATCTCGAACCATGCTCATGAACCTCAAGACACTTGATTGGGATCGACCCACATTGGATGCTTTGGGAATACCCATCGAAATCCTGCCCAAGATTATTAGCAATTCTGAAATAATCGGAAAGATGGCGAGTGGATGGCCTCTTGTCGGTGTCCCAATTGCCGGATGCCTGGGTGATCAACACGCAGCCATGCTGGGGCAGGCTTGCCGGACAGGGGAGGCGAAGAGCACCTATGGGACTGGTGCTTTTATACTTCTCAACACTGGTAAGGAAGTCGTTAAATCATCCCATGGACTCCTCACCACTCTCGCCTACAAGCTTGGTCCTAATGCGCCAACCAATTATGCTTTGGAAGGCTCCATAGCAATAGCTGGAGCGGCAGTTCAGTGGCTGAGAGACGGCCTGGGCATAATTAAGAGTGCAGCCGAGATTGAAGAGCTAGCAGCGCAGGTGGATAATTCCGGCGGGGTCTACTTTGTGCCAGCATTTAATGGGTTATTTGCACCATGGTGGAGAGACGACGCTCGAGGGGTGTGTATTGGGATAACAAGGTTTACGAGCAAGGCTCACATTGCCCGTGCTGTGTTGGAGAGTATGTGTTTCCAGGTGAAGGATGTGCTGGATTCTATGCACAAAGATGCAGGAGAGAAGGGTGAGGCCAAGAATGACAAGGGGGAGTTCTTGCTTAGAGTGGACGGTGGAGCAACTGTTAACAAACTTTTGATGCAGATTCAGGTATGAGTTCTTCTGTTCCTTTCTTGTTATTTGTTTTATCTCCATTAAAGATCAATTGAACAGCTATTTGCTCTGTTCTGTCACTCTGTATTCAATTGTGCTTTCTTGAACTTGTTCAGTTTCATCCTAAAAGACGGTTATTTATGATTGTGTACTATTTTTTCCTCAGTATTTATTTGTTTTTATTTTTATTTTTATTTTTAGTTCATCAGTGTTGTTGTGATTGAGAAGCCTACCCTACCACCCCATTACAGTTAGACCTTCGATTGCAGATAGACTGCCGAGCACCTTCGACCTTATAGGGTTCTCCTAAGGAAGTTTTTGATGCCAATGATCTGGCTATCTGCCTCCATCGTTCTCTGAACCAAATTGGTTTTAGAGTCTGTTTGTTGAATAGCATAGAACTATTCACAAACAAGATGAAGTGGTCCTCCTGTGATGTGGAGGTTTCAGTGAGCTTTTAGTATTCACTTTATGATAAAAGTAGCTAGAAGGGGTGGCCATTTATTATTTGTGTTTAATTGGGTCTCTCTGGTGTGGGGATCTCTTTACCACTTTCCTTTAAAGTTTACTTTGATTAGAATATTTTACTAGATTGAACCATAGAAACTTTTGCTTGGGAACTTGCCGTTACATTTTTCTCTTTTTCCCTTTTATTTAGTAAGATTCTTGTAGAAAGTTTCAATGATTTTTGACATATTAATGGTTTGCAGGCGGATATATTGGGAAGTCCTGTGGTAAGACCAGCTGACATTGAGACGACAGCTCTTGGGGCAGCTTATGCTGCTGGATTAGCTGTGGGGCTTTGGACTGAAGATGATATTTTTGCAGAGAGAGCAGAGAAAGCCACCATTTTTAGTCCCAAGTTGGATGGGGAACTGAGGAAGAAGAGACTGGAGTCTTGGTGCAAGGCAATATCAAGAACTTTTGATTTGGCAGACCTTTCCCTCTAAACTCCTATTACTTGGCCATTGACCTTGTTATATTCATTGCATGTATAGATTTTACGCACACTATTTCACTTTTATTATTTGGTTGAAAAGTGACAAAATCCACTTTGGTTTGATTCTAGTTATGTTGGTTTTTGGATGGAAAAAATAGATGATGACATGAATTTACAAAAGTCCTCAGACAAGAGGGTTTCTCCTTCAGACACGTGGCTAGTAATCTATTCAGAAAAGGGTAAATGAATTTTAACTCAGATTAAATCTAATTTAATTTCCTAACTCAAATAGAAAACCCAGCATAAAGCCTTTCAATATTTTACATTGGTATGGCTCTCATTCTTTTATATGAAGACTTCCAATTATTTACATTAATATGGTTCTCAGTGGGTTAAAAGAGGGCAGCCCCAGTTCAAGAGGCTCCCGCCAATGCGGGGTCCAGGAGGGACAGATGTATGCAGCTTACCCCTGCACATACAGAGAGGCTGTTTCCAAGATTTGAACCCTGGTCACTCAAGTCACAATGGAGCAACCCAACCATTGCGCCAAGGCCTACCCTCATATGTCTCTTAGTGGGTTGTTGATTGCAAATCAAACTTGATTTGGTTTCTTAAATCAAATTATAAAACCTACCTAAATTTACCACATAGATAATGAATTCCAAATGAAATATGTAAATATAGTTGCCCAGTACTTAGTACCTACCCATATGGTGGTAATAAAATAGCAAGCCTATTAAATGGAATACCTGTACCCATATCTTTGTCCAGGATCTTGAATGGTAGTCTTGCTTCTCATATCCATGTCTATGTTGGTATCTGTATCTGTGCATCATAGGACAAGACTCTCCAGAAGAAATGGAGGCTTTTCTTTTGTATTTTAAATTATTTTTCTATGTGCTTGTGCATATCTGTGGGTGAGTACATGGTGTATTGAATGGGCTTGAATATGTGCTTGTGTATTGATGTATGTAGATGGGTCCATTGCTGTAGGATTTTTTATGCATAGCATGATTATTAGCAGACAGGCTTTTAATGTGAGGAGAATATCCTTTGCAAAATGGCTAGATCCTTGTGTTCCTGCTAATGTAGATGTACATACTGGTGTATTATACTGTATATTTCTGCATATTCAGTTTCTGATAAAAAATAATATGTAATAAATACTGCTGGGTGTTGTTTTAATGTCCATTGATCCAAAGATTGGTTGTTTTAGGGTGAGTTTGTTTGGTTGTGGTTGTTCATTGTCTTTTCTTTGGGGGGGGGGGGCTTTTATTTTTATCGTGGCTTTTGAACTGCCATTGGCCCGGGCGGTCAGACCGTTTGGCCCGGGAACCATCCAGGCAACTGGTTCCGTTTTACCTCAAACCCGGTCCCTGGTCAAAAACCATTGAATCGGTCAATTACGCGTTGATCCGGGCGGTTGAACCGTCGACCCTCTTGACCCATTCAACGGTTTTGGCCGTTTTTGAATTTTAATTATTATTATTATTTTTTAATTTATTTTGTCAGAATGGGCCGTCTGTTCGGACCGGACAGTCGAACCATCGATTGGAAACCGGTGGCCAGAAAGGTTCTGGTTCCGTGTTATTTTTTAAAATATTGATTTTTATTACCAATAAAAAAAGAGTTGTGGGACTGGGATGAATGACTGCAACAAATCAACTCTGAGTTTGTGAGCCATGTTAAAGATTTTTCTTGAAGTGTGTAATGCAGTTAATCATATGGTAAATGCACTTTACACTACTCTATCAGAATAGTCGAATTGCTTTTTTGTCTGAAACTTGCATACATCATGCCATTCTCCCTAGGAATGGATTCATTGTCAGAAGAGGAAGAAATGGTTCCTTTCTTTGTTTTTCCTGTTCATTATTATTCCCAATTGTCCTTCTTTGGCTCACACTTCATTGGTTATGGATTGAACTTTTGTGTAGTGTTACTTCTCCCCCTAAATGATCTCTTTCTCTAACAGAAGTCTTCTTCAAATTTTCCTTTAGTTGATTCTGATTCAGCAAATCCTCTCAAATCAATTTTGGATATCATAGATAGTTCTATGATGAAGCTAAACACTCATCCATCACTTGTCAATACCATTATAATCTCTCAGTTGTTCAATGCTTTTGAGACGTTCACTAAATAAATATGGTCATCACTACTACTGGTGGAACACAGGTAGCCATGCTGATGCCTGATTGATTTATCTCACTTTGCAAGAGTGCTTCTACCATAAATGAGAGATACTGTATGAAGTTAGGTAGCATGTCTGTTGAGAACCATCTTCTTACAAGTTAGGTAGCTTCTACCATAAATGGAACACAGGTTCCCATTTCTCTTTCTTTTGGTTTGAGAGAATGGTTTTCCAGAGTTCTGAAGTAATAAGGTCAAGTCCTTTGGTAATGGGTTCAATACTTGCTGATGTAATTGGGAGGGTATGTGGGTTATGTTTTAAGCTTCTGAGACATAAATCCTGTGGCTTAGGAAGCACATTGTCATCTAGTGGCCTCTCTGTTGTGTTAGTTTTAGTTTGTGTCATGTTTTTCATGCAAACTGCTTGGAGCAGAGAACATCTGAGGAAGATAAACGAGATCCCCCCTGTGCCCTTCCATTATGCATTGAATTGTCTAATGTCTCGAGAGGCAAGAACTGATGGGAATCAGCTTTATATATGAAAACTTGTGATTCAGGCAATACTGAAATAGACGGTATAGGTGCATCATATTTCATGTAGAAGGGTTTTACAGGGTAGTATATTGGCATCACATTATTTCCAATTTTTGACTGTTATGGTGCTATATTGTGATTCCATTTTTTGTTGGAGAAAATATTTCAAGATATAAAGGTACAACAGTGATGCAGAGACAATCACCAATTTCAATTGATGGTTTTTCTTCTATCAGGTAAATTTCTTTGGTACTATTACCAATCATAAGCTTCAGTTTCCCTTCATCATTAAATGTTCATTACTGTAGCATATGTTTTTGTATTTACTCAACTTGTTACGAATTATATTATTAGCCTTCCTTCAAATGATTTCATCTTTCTTGTTCATTATGAGCATAAATTTATTCAGATCCCTGGTTGAATTATGAATTAATCTCAACATGCTCGTATCCTCTTTGAGAAAAATGGTGTTTTTTTGCGTCACCCAAACTGTCTTTTCTCTGGTCAAAAGCTGCTCAGAGTTGTGGTTTAAAGCATTGCTTAGAGGAGATGTACAAAAGTTTATCTAGAAGGATCTCACTTAGACATCTTGTGGCATGTCTTTGCTATATGAGGTACTTCTTCCCGCTTGCCCTGAGTTTCAAGGTGGTTGAGGTGTTGTTCACTGCACACACCTGACATGGAGCCATATGTTATAGTACATGATATTGTTTCAGTTTCATCGTGTCTTGCAGTTGTGGAAAGTGTTGCATGACAGTGATATGCTAAAAATAAATGGTGTTTTCTGATTGTTTTGCAGTTTCATTGTGTTTTGTAGTTGTTTACTGGTTTTGACCTGAATGGAATGTTGCAAGCCACTAGCTTGTAGATCATAATACTCTGAATGTTTTTTTTTTTTTTTTTAACTGAACAATGAGTGGTGTTTTCTTTGATTGCTGCATTCCTGGCCCAATTAAAAATTTTTCTACTTGGTAGGACTTACAGTGAGAAACATGGATAGAGAAGCTGGTTGCAAACCAAACTGTCACTTTATCCTCTAATTTTGGAAGGATTAGTTTCATAGATGTAGCTTTTGTTCTTAGTGAGAAAAATAGCACATAGGGTGTTTCTAACAAGTTTGGCTGCTACCAACAAAGCTTCCAATAATTTTGGATATTACAAATTGAATAAAAACCGAAAACCTTCTTGGAGATACACACTACACACCACACGCTACACAGTGCAGACAAATTGTCGATGGAGACCAGGGTGCACATGAGTCCTGCCCACTGGTGATACCATGGAGAACCTGTGGTTCCGTGGGCTTGATTCTACACCTCCCAGTTGGAGGTGAAACTCTAGCTCGAATACAAGGATATTTGAGGATATTCTTGGCATCTGAATAATTGGATTACTGGGATAGAGGTTAGCAGTGATACAGGGCTGGAGAGGAGACATGACAGAACGCACATGAGGCCTAATGGCCAAACCATAAAGAGCCAACTTATCTATGGGGCGGCCATTGGCAAATTTAAGATTTAAATGGTGGAAATTGGGAAGTTGGTTGACTGTATTGCAACAATTACTGTTTAGATTTACTCATCTCCAGTAAACAGCAAAGACGCATAACCCAAGGTTTCATTGGGCAAGAATCATGCAGGAGCTCAATATTTGAGGCCAAAGTTGAGCTCGCGCTACCATGGCTCACACAGTAAGATTAGGCCTGGCAATGGGTATCACACTGCACAGAGAGCCAAATGGTGGAACTGGGTTTGGCCGTTTGGGATTCCGGATTCCCATATAGTTGATGCAACGCTTAGAGACATACGCTCTTCCAGAGATACAAAATTCGTTGGCAAACTCTACTTAATTCGTCTGCTGCCTCTCCGTCTTTTTTTTTACTCTTTAACGAGCTGTCAAAATAGGATGCATTAGTAAGAGTTTTGCTGTGGGGCGTTTGTGGAGCGCAGATGTGAATTCAACAAACAAGTAGGCAAAGGCTCAATTAAGCATAGTTTCGAGACAAACTTCACACACCGGTTGCATTTTTATTATTTCTGTTCCTAATCGTGTTGAGAGAAAATGGCGTGATGGGCTTTATTTGATAGTCTTTTTCTTGGTAGATTTACCACGCGCATTATATGCATGGGGGATCTGGATTGAGTGATGTGATCACAGTTTCAAACTTCTCGGTTCTTACTTTTTGCAAGATGCTGTGGCCTTGTGGGCCTGAAACTTTGTACTATATAGATTGTGGCTTTACTGGGTTGGTGTTGTTATGAGTCGCAAATTGTATGGACGTTTGGCTCAACAAACAATGAGGGTGCCTTCATCCATCATAGCTGCCACCTGCAATGAGGTGCATGGCCTTCCTTCAATCGCCATGTGTTCTAAGTATTAGAGAAGATGTAGAGCCACCATCAAATGCGTATCTTCTTCTTCAAAAAACAAAAAAAAGTTGATAAGACTGCTTCACGCAGTGTTGAAAGACACAGATTCTTATTATTAACACAAAACTGAGCATAAGAAATTATAATTAAAAAAGTTGCCTTAACGAGCTTTTCCAAACGATTCCATTGTTGTTTTACTTGGACAATCTAGCTAGTTATGTTCTTCGATGAGAAGAGAACTTGTGAACAGTGGTAAATACAAAATCATAACATGAATAAATACCTGCTTCAATGAGTCCAAACCAGATTCTGCGCCAGTAAGAATTGATGTAGAGAATAAATGCGAGAGCCAAAAGGCACATGACGTACGAAACTGCAAAGCTTGCATAGAAAGAGACCAAGTCCATGCCATCATCCAAATATGTTGCTGGAGCAACCTTTGATTCTACGCCGGTGGTGCAGTTCCTTAGTAATGGAGGTCCACAGAGAAACGGGTTTCCCTCATAACTGTCGATGTCGAATGTTGCAAACTGTGCCTTCATGTCTGGGGTCTTACCCGATAAATTGTTGTAAGCCACGGAGAAGATCGCCAAAAATGGCAGCTCTGTCAGCTCTAAAGGAATCTGACCACTCAAGTTGTTGTGGGAAAGGTCCAAGCTCTCTATTTGCGTCAGATTGGAGAAGGATTTTGAGATTGACCCAGAAAATTGATTGTGTGATAAATTTAAAGCAAGAATTTCATTTAAGTTTCCCATCTCTGGTGGAATTTCACCCGTTAAGAGATTGCTTGACAGATCCAATCCAGACATAAAATCAAGAATGCTACCCTCATAAGAGTTAGACCTGCGCTTTGTCGTGAACTTCACTTTTTCTGGTTTATTCTCAAAGACCTCATCAGCATCGTAATCATTGTTTCCTTCTACAACACTTTGGTATTTATACGATTGCAAGGAATATCGAGTCCCAGCACCAGTTTCCATAAACATATATTCCCTAAATTCTGACCTCCCGAATGGGATGTCACTGAAACATTTAGGTATCGACCCAGAAATGGTGTTATTGGAAAGATCCATTATCCTAATCTTTTTCAATTGACATAGTTGTGGAGGAATTGGGCCCTGCAAATTATTTCCTTCAAATAAAAGAATTCTTAACTCAGAAAACTCACCAATCCAATATGGAATATGTCCAGAGAAGTTATTACCCCCGATGTCCAATGTAACCAGAGATGAGGAGCTGTTGAGTAGACTAATTGGTAGTGATCCTCTAAATCCATTTCTTCCCAAATGGATAAATCTTAAAGATGGTGAATCCGAGGATAAAGGAATGGGGCCAGAAAGAAAGTTCCCAGAAAGGTCCAAGAGGTAAAGTTCCTTTAGATTACCAATTTCTGTTGGGATGTGGCCTTCGAAAAGATTATCTCTCATGTCAAGTGTAACCAAACCTGTAAAGTTGCCAATCCAACTTGGAATCTTACCTGATATGTAGTTGTTGCCAATATCAAGTCTAACTAGTAGAAAGCCCTCGTATGCTCCATTTAAGGCATTTCCAGAGAAGTGATTGCCATCCAAATACAACTCTATCAATCTAGTTAGATTAGAGAGTTTAGGGAATATTTGGCCCTGTAATTTGTTGTTTGATAGCTTCAAAGAAACCAATGACTGACAGCCTATGGCCAACTGCTCTGGTATTTCCCCTGAAAAATTATTGTTGGACAAATCCAAGGTGAATAAATTTCTCATCTCTCCAATTGATGATGGAATACTTCCTTCAAAATTATTTTGTGAGGCATGTAGAACTTCCAAGTTCGGAAGAACCTCACCAATATTAGCTGGAAGTTGACCATGAAAATGATTTTCAGAGATAAATAACCATGAAATATTCAGAGAAAGTCTTGAAGTTAGATTGAGGTGGCCTGTTAATGAATTGTTTTGCACATTTAGAAGTTCTAACTTTGTCTTGTTATGAAGCAACCAAGAAGGAAGATTTCCCCTTAGACTGTTGTGCGAGAGATCAATTTCTCTCAAGTCATACTGTAGAGAGAGAAATTTCGGAATAATTCCTGCGGGCTTATTTAGGTTGCAGTTTGTCAAAACAAGAACCTTCAACTGAAAAGATGGAACCCAAGATGGATATTCAGTTTGCACCTCCAATTTGTTGCCACCACTCGATAGTTTAACCACTTCAAGTCTGGAGCTATTAGCAAATGAGCCAAACCAAAATGCACCTTCGAAATTATTATTTTCTAGAGATATATACTCGAGGGATGTAAGGCTAGTTATTAGAGAGGAAGGAATGCTCCCTCTTAATTGATTCTCAGAAAGATCTAACATTCTAAGAGATGTCAAATTGCTTAGACATGAAGGAATGACTCCTTCGAAGCTATTTCCACCAAGAACCAAGTCTTGGAGGCTCTTCAGTTTACACAGACCTGCACAAAGGTAGTGCTGAATCTAAGTTGATTGTGGTATATGCATGGTTCAACCATATATTTGGTTATTTATGTTGACAGGTATCAATTTTACCTTGGATGGGGAGGGAGCCGTTAAATCTATTGTATGCAAGAGATAAGTGCTTAAGACTGGAAAGATTCCCTATTGATGGTGGGATACTCCAGGTGAATGAGTTATAACTCAGATCAAGAATCTCCAACTTGCTAAGTGCTTCCAAAGCTAAGAAACAGAAGAAAAAAATAATAGTTAAAAAGGGCTAGATCCAATGTTTTGAAAAACAACCAGTAAATTGAACAACTTCCCCCTCCCAGTGGCGGGTTAGCATTTCAATATCTAGGTCAAATAGATGAACCAATGACACCATAAATCAAACAATAAAGTACAGAAAAAAAATTGCAAAAACAATAGGGCATATCTCTAATATTACATATTTATCTTATTAAACAAGAATACAATAAATGAGAATTATTGTTATCAATGATAGAAATGGATAAAATTACAAAAAAAAAGAGAATTAATGTTTGACTTTGACCTGTTGACCAAGTCAAATGGTTCAATGTTCAATCAGCAGGGTCATTGGGTCATTGACCAAGTCAATAGGTGGTCCTTTTCTTTTCTTGTTTTTGGTTTTCTGGGTAATGCTAGTCCATGGTGTTCTCCATTTTTTTGGGATACATCTAAGCAAATTCATAGTAATATGGAATCCTCTTATGTAGTATTCCAAAACTTGTAAATATGAATTTGCATCAAGTGGATCTTGGATCTGATCAATTCAATTGTGCTTTTCCAACTATGTTAAAAAAAGGGTTTGCATCAAGTGGGTCATGGATCTGATCAATTCGGCTAGATATCTGGCAGAGACTTGGGATCGATTCTCACCTTCAACAGGGTTGGGGTGTAATGGGTTTGTGGGATGGCCTATCCCTTTGTCTAGTGAATTCAGCCAAAAAAGAGAAAGGTGTATTGTTGTTTTACAGTTAGTCCTTGGATTGGTGTCTAAAGGGGCTACTGTCAATACAAATGGGGTATTTTCACACTGTTCGGTTTTGGTGTGCTTTTGCTTCCTACTTTCCTAGAGGCTTGATAATGAAGAATGATTCTTAAACTATATCGAGAGTAAAAATGGACTTGCTTTGGATGGGCAGAGCGCCATTAAAATGGTTCCAACTCAAATTAAGAACCTCTAAGTTGCTCAGGTTGGCTAACTCTGTGCCCAAACGAGAAAACAGAATTAGAAAGAATCAGGGCAAAGAAAATAATGAAAAAATTGAGCATAAGAAATCTCATCAGATAGACATACCGTGAGCAGATAGTGATCCTTCCATACCATTGCTTCCCAGAGATAAGGTATTGAGGGATGGAAATGCACCTACAAACTTGAGGATGCTTTTGTCGAAATGATTTTCACTTAAATCCAAACGCTCTAGCTTGCTCAATCTCTTGACACCTGAGGAATATAATTGTTCGAACACCTGAAGATCAACTTACACCAGAAGACCACATCATGGTTGCATGAATAAAAGGTTGTGCTATTTATAAAAATTGTAACCATCACCCCAGTAGAAACTCAAGCTCAAACCGAGCTGGACTTTTGAGCCTAAAATAGAGCGTAATAGTGAAGAATCCAATTGTATACGAATTACAGAGATGAATTACACTACCTTGAATTGGCGGGAGCCTTGTGTACTGGACTGTCCTTTTAGTAAAGTTACCTTGAATGGTTAGAGAGCCACTACCGAGTCGATTTTGACTTAAATCCAAAATTTTCAAGTTCCTCAACTGGCTAAACTCTGCATATTCCCAGTCGTGCCATTTATTTTCAAGGTAATTTAGAAAATAGTGTGCAAGAGAGCCATAAAAACATTTACATACCTCGGAGAGGTAAGGAACCTTCCAACTCATTAGAGCGAAGAGAGAGAGTCTCTAAGGATGTTAGAGCACCCAAAAATGGCAGGATGCTGCTGTTCAATTGATTATCACTCAGGTTTAACACCTGCAACTTCTTTAGTCCAGGAGGCACTCTTCCTCTACCACCTACATCAATCATGTTTATGTAAGCTCATGCATCGTATCATATTAATTGGAAATTAAAATATTCTCCACCAAACAATCAAATAAACAATTGATGGATTAATTTGGGACTTGGAAGAGATAATAATTGAAGATACATTAGATACCTTCATTCCTGAAGCAACCATTAAATATGCCAGATAAATCCAGATATAGGAGCTCTTCAAAAGGAAGAAACAGGGTGGTATTCAGATACCAAGCAGCTGGACCAAGATTGTTATCCCTCACATCGTTGAGGGAGAGCTGAGTGATTCGTCCAGTAGTAGGGCTACATATGACTCTCTCCCAAGTACAACAATCACTTCCTTTATCATCAACCCAAGATGGAAGAAAAGCACCACCAATATAATCAGTTGCATTGAAAGAAGACTTGAATTCTAAAAGAGCCATCCTCTCCTCCTCCATGCATCCCCAATACCCACGAAGCTGAACAAGCAAGAGCAGTGAAATCCAAGACCATGTCATCCAAGGAGACTCCATGTTTTCCATACAAAGACTTTGAGCTACCTGATCATTCTATTCTAGCACTCTGATTTATAATAATGAGAGGTCTTGGTAAAACAGTGGGTCAATCAGGCAACTTCAAATTCATTTCTCCTGTCAAGTTAGTCTCTTTTTCAGTGATTTAAAAGTCAAAACTTGTGTCCTATAAGTTGGACGAATTGTGAAGAATGAGACAAAGTTAGTATTTGTCCAAGTAGTCACCATGGTGTTCAAAAACAAAAAACAAAATTTCTCTAGGCTCAGTTTGGAAGGAGTACAAATATAAACATGTACAGTTCGAATACATACAAAATAATGCAAAATGCAAGGTTTATTTGTATTTGTGCTCCTTCTAAATTGAGCCTAGGAGAAAACGACAAACAGATGAAAAATACATACACTGAACTCAAGGGGGTGTTCTTTTTTCAGATTTTGAGAGGGGGAAAGTTGGTCAATGAGATTTTGGTTCCCATTGACTAAAAATCCCATGTTCTTTTTTTAGATTTATATGAGGATCAGGGAAAATTTATTTTCCTGTTCTTTTTTCAGATTTTGAGAGGGGGAAAGTTGGTCAATGGGATTTTGGTTCCCATTGACTAAAAAGCCCATGTTCTTTTTTTAGATTTATGTGAAGATCAGGGAAAATTTATTTTCCTGAGTAATACTTACCCGGATAAGTGATACCTATATGGTGGATAAATAACTTTTCCACCTAAGTGGAAGTTGCCAATACTTGAATGGGATAAAAATGCCCTTTTTAATAATGGATTTTTATGGCTAAAATGGTCATTGCCTTATTTACATGAGAAATAAAAGAATATGGGTAAATGCACTTACCCGAATAAGTGTTTTTCAAGAAAAATTTACCCAAATAACTGTATTTACATGAATAAATAACTTACCGAAAAACGAACAGGGCCCAAAAATCAAAACAGAACTAGAACTATTGAAAGAATTCAATCCATTATATTTGGGGTAATTCCGAAAGGTAAAATACAGACGTTATCAAATTGAATTACAGATCGGTTGCTCCTACAGCGACCCGAAGTGACTCGAAGCAAGTCTCTAATATAACATTGGCTTCTTGAAAAAGAGATGTGTTTCGATGAAACTGCGCTGAATTTATTTGATATGGGGTTCTGAAGTATATGAGAAAAATATTGATATGGGGTTCTGAAGAAGAGTTATAACAGTCGTATAAAGTTCGTAAAAAGCGGAGAATAGGACAAATAATACCTTGAAGAAGGATAAATGAGCAATCGAGATTAGTTCAGATGAACTGAAATATGGATTACACGTTGCAGTTCTGGCTGTTCCTTGAGACCTTGCATTTGGGTTGAGAAGACGCCCATCTTTCTAGAGTACTCCGTTTGGGAAGCAAATACCCAATTACCGATTCGGAAAGCGGTCGAGCAAACTTAACATTAACACCAGAAGAGGTGTTGAAAGAGAATGGTTTCAGAGTCTGCAGGGATGAGTTTTGATCGGCTGGCTGATGATGGAAATCAACCGTTCACTGGTTCACTAACTCGTCAATAGGTCTTTTTCTTTTTCTGTGTTATGTAGTTAATCATATGGTAACTGCACCTTACATTACTCTATCAGAATAACCAAATAGCTTTTTTGTCTGAAACTTGCAGACATCATGCCATGCTCTCTTGGAAATTGGAATGGATTCGTTGTCAGAAGAGGCAGAAGAGGTTCCTTTCTTTGTTTTATCTCTTCATTATTAGTCCCAATTGTCCCTTTGTCTCAAACTTCATTGGTTATGGATTGAGCTTTTGTATAGTGTTACTTCTCCCCCTAAATGATTTGTTTCTCTCTGCAGAAGTCTTCTTCAACTTTTCCTTTAGTTGATTCTGGTTCTGCAAATCCTCTACCATAGATAGTTCTATGATGAAGCTAAACACTCATCCGTCACTTGTCAATACCATTAATATCTCTCAGTCGCTCAGTGCTTTTGAGACGTTCACTAAACAAATATGATCATCACTACTCTTGGTGGAACACAAGTAGCCATGCTGATGCCTGATAGATTTATCTCACTTTGCAAGAGTACTTCTACCATAAATGAGAGATACTCTATGAAGTTGGGTAGCATGCATGCATGTTTAAAACCATCCTCTTACAATTTCGTATGTTGTTTTCCCATTTCCTTTTCTTTTGGTTTGAGAGAGGTTTTCCAGGGCCTCAAGTAATAAGGTCAAGTCCTTTGGTAATGGATTCGATATCCATTGATGTAATTAGGAGAGTATGTGGGTTATGTTTTAAGCTTCTGAAACATAAATCCTGTGGCTTGGGAAGCTCATTGTCATCTTCTGACCTCTCTGTTGTGGCAGTTTTAGTTTGTGTTCATGTTTTTCATGCAAACCGCTTGGAACAGAGAGAACAAGATAAATGAGACCCCCCTGTGCCTGTCCTTTATGCATTGACTTCTCTAATGCCTCGAACTTGGAGCAAATATTTCAAGATATTAAAGGTAAAACAATGATACAGAGACAATTACCAATTTCAATTGATGGTGTTTCTTCTTTCAGGGAAATTTCCTTAATTTGGTGCTATTACCAATCGATCATAAGCTTCGTTACCCTTCATCATTAAATGTTCATGGCTGTAGCATATGGTGTTGTATTTATTCAACTCGTTTCTTATTGTAACTATTAGCATTCCTTCAAATGATTTCATCTCTCATGTTCATTATGAGCATATTTTATTCAGATCCCTGGTTGAATTTTGAATTAATCTTAACATGATGGCGTCCTCTGAGGAAAATGGTGTTTTCTTACATCATTAAAACTGTCTTTTTCTCTGGTCAAAAGATGTGGTTTAAACTTTAAACCATGCTTAGAGGAGATGTGCAAAAATTTCAGCCAGAAGGACCTCACTTGGACATCTTGTGGCCAATGTCTTCGTTATACAAGGTACTTGCCGCTTGCCCTTAGATTCTAGGTGGTCGAGGTATCCACTGCATACACCTGAAATGGAGCCATATGTAATATAGTACATGATATTTTGACCTGAAAAGGAATGTTGCAAGCCACAAGCTTGTAGATCATAGTACTCTCTCATTGTTTTTTTTTTTTTTTTTAACTGAACAATAAGTGGTTTTTTCTTCAATTGCTACATTCCTGGCCCATTTAAAAATCTTAATACTTGGTAGTACTTAAAGTGAAACATGGATAGGGAAGCTGGTTGCAAACCAGACTGTCACTTTAACATCTAATTTATGTTGCATTTGCCTCCTGGTCATGGTTTTATATAATCATAATGGCATCTGTACTGCCGCAAATGTTATGCATTTTCATGGTATCTGCTTCGACAAGACACCCCCCTTTCAACTAATGTTATGCATTTTTATTCTTTTTAATATAAAAGATTTTTATTAAAAATAAAGAAAAAATGAGATCCTCCTTCCTCTTCATCCTCCTCCTAACCCCCCTCCTCTTAAGAATGCTTATGCCTCTTGCGTTCTGAACTACGCCTCACGCCTCTAAGTAGTAGAACGCCTCCACATTTTAAAACATTGGTTACAGATTGAATAAAGAATAAAATATTTCTTGGAGAATAACAAAGTTTTTGGAAGGATAAGTTTCATAGAAATAATTTTTGTTCTTGGTGAGGAAGTTAGGAATTTCTAACAAATTTGGGTGTTACCAAAAAAGCTTCCATTCCAATAAATTTGGATATTACAAATTGATTAAAAACTGAAAACCTTCTTGGAGATACACACTACACATAACAAACTACAGATGAGTTGGTGGTGGGGACTAGGATGCATGTGAAGCCTGGCCCACTGGCAATAAATACCATGGAGAGCCTGTTGTTCCATGGGTTTGATTCTGCACCTTCCAGTTAGATGGGTGCCAAGTGACCATCTCAACTACTGGGTGATTGGTGCTGAAACCCTAGCTGCTACTGGATTGTTAAACAGTGATAGAGGGGTATTTGAGGATATTCTTGGCATCTAACAATTTTGGATTGTTAAACAGTGACAGGGCAGCACGCACATGAGGCCTAATGGCCAAACCACGAAGAGCCAACTCAACTACGGGGCGGCCATTGGAAAATTTGAGGTTTAAATGGTGGAACTGGAAATTGGGACGTTGGTTGACCATTTGGGTGAGCCCATCTCTATTAAACAGTAAAGACCACACAACACAAGGTTTCATTGGGCAAAAATCAGGTTGGAGCTCAACAATTGGTGACAAAATGGAGCTGGCGCTACCATGGCTCAGTAAGATAAGGCCTGGCAATGACTATTACACCGAACAGAGCCAAAATTCTTTGGCAAACTCTATTTAATAGGAAAATAAAACATTCTCCAGTTTGTCCGCAGCCTCTCCATCTTTAACGAGCTGTCAAATTAGGATGCATTAGTAAGAGTTTTGATGGAGTCAGACCCTTGGCTTTCCAAATGCCTAATTATATATCCAAAACAAACAAGTAGACAAAGGCTCAATTGAGCATAGTTTCGAGACAAACTTCACACACCGATTGCGTATTGTGCTCACTGCTCAGCAAGTGTTGCCTTCTCCATTCTGTTGTGTTTTTGTTATTTCTGTTCCTAATAGTGTTGAAAGAAAATATCGTGATAGTCTGTTTAATCTACAAAGGAAGATAGACTGGGCTTTGATAGTCTTTTTCTTGGTAGATTTACCATGCGCTGATGCGCATTACATGCATGGGGGATATGGAATCTGGATTGGGTGATGTGATCACAATTTCAAACTTCTCACTTCTCACTTTGTGCAAGATGTGGCCTTGTGGGCCTGAGACCTGTATATAATTAACCCAGTCTGTTGATCTGTTCAGATTGTGACTTTACTGTGCTACTGTTATTATGGGTCACAAATTGCATGGACGTTTGGCCCAACAAACAATGGGGGTGCCCTCATCATAGCTGCAACCTGCAATAAGGTGCATGGCCTTCCTTCAATCGCCATGTGTCCCAAGTATTAGAAAAGATGTTGAACCACCATCAAATAAGTATCCTCTCTGGAGTTGTGGAAGCAACAAATGAATCCTAGTCCTAGATCCAGCCCAGTGGCTTACTTTGAGATTTTTGAGCCTTCTCTTCTCAATTCCAATCAAGTATGGTTGGGTTGCTTATGCCATCTTTCAAGTGTATATATCCTGCAATTATCTTATGGTTTAGAATGATGCTTTATGAATTTTAACATGTAACAGTTCATTTTCTGTAGCCAGACAGTTTGGCTACAGGCGGTGCTTATAGAACAACCTTGTATAGCAGCAATTCTGTGCCCTGAATTTCTGGGCTCTCTTTCTTTGTACAACTCTCTTTATTCTCATAATTAATACAACTTTGTTATTCTCCTAAAAAAAAAACAGTTGATAGACTGCTTCACCCAGTGTTAAAAGATTGAGATTCCTATTACTTACCCAAAACTGGAGCGCATAAGAAATTACAATCAAACAAGTTGCCTTAACGAGCTTTCCTAGCTTTTCCAAAGGATTCCACTGTTAGCTAGTTATGTTCTTCGATGAAAAGAGAGCTTGTGAGTAGTGGTAAATACAAAATCATAAAATGAATAAATACCTGCTTCAATGAGTCCAAACCAGATTTTGCGCCAGTAAGGATTGATGTAGAGAATAAATGCGAGAACCAATAGGCACATGATGTACGAAACTGCAAAGCTTGCATGGAAAGAGACCAAGTCCATGCCATCATCCAAATATGTTGCTGGAGCAACCTTTGATTCTACACCTGTGGTGCAGCTCTTTAGTAATGGAGGCCCACAGAGAAAAAGGTTTCCCTCATAGCAGCCGATGTCAAATGTTGCAAATTGTGCCTTCATGTCTGGGGTCTTACCCGATAAATTGTTGTAAGCCACGGAGAAGATTGCCAAAAATGATAGCTCTGTCAGCTCTGAAGGAATCTGTCCGCTCAAGTTGTTGTGGGAAAGGTCTAAGCTCTCTACTTTCGTCAAATTGGAGAAGGATTTCGGGATTGATCCAGAAAGTTGATTGTGTGATAAGTTTAAAGCAAGAATTTCATTTAGGTTTCCCATCTCAGGTGGGACGTCACCTGTTAAGTGATTGAATGACAGATCCAATCCAGACATAAAATTAAGAATGCTATCCTCATAAGAGTTAGACCTGCGCTTTGTCATGAACTCTACTTCTTCTTGTGTCTTGTAACTGATCTCTACACCATTGCCATCTCTGGTTCCTTCTACAAAACTTCCATATTTATACGGCTGCAAAAAATATGCAGTCCCAGTAGCAATTGGGTCAAACATGAATTCACTTAATTCTGACCTCCCGAATGGGATGTTACTGAAGCATTTAGGTATTGACCCAGAAAAGGTGTTATTTGAAAGATCCATAATCCTTGTCTGCTTCAATTGACACAACTGACGAGGAATTGGACCCTGCAAATTATTCCCCTTTAACAAAAGAATTCTTAGCTCAGAAAACTCGCCAATCCAATTTGGAATTTGTCCAGACAAGTTGTTATTCCCAATGTCCAATGTAAGTAGAGATGAGGAGCTGTTGAGTAGACCAATTGGTAGTGATCCTTTAAATCGATTTCTTCCCAAATGAATAAATCTTAAAACTGATAAATCCGATGATAATGGAATGGGGCCAGAAAGAAAGTTACCAGAAAGATCTAAAACGGAAAGTAGCTTTAGACTACCCAATTCTGTTGGGATGTGGCCTTCGAAAAGATTATCACTCATGACAAGTATATCCAAACCTGTAAGGTTTCCAATCCAACTTGGAATCCTACCTGATATGTAGTTGTTGCTTATATCAAGGCTTCCAAGTAGAAAGTTCTGGTATACTCCATTTATGGCATTTCCAGAGAAGTGATTGCTATCCAAATCTAACCTCACCAAATTGGTCAGATTAGAGAGATTGGGGAATATTTGGCCCTGTAATTTGTTGTTTGATAGCTTCAAAGAAACCAATGACTGACAGCCTATGGCCAACTGCTCTGGTATTTCCCCTGAAAAATTATTGTTGGACAAATCCAAGGTGAATAAATTTCTCATCTCTCCAATTGATGATGGAATACTTCCTTCAAAATTATTTTGTGAGGCATGTAGAACTTCCAAGTTCGGAAGAACCTCACCAATATTAGCTGGAAGTTGACCATGAAAATGATTTTCAGAGATAAATAACCATGAAATATTCAGAGAAAGTCTTGAAGTTAGATTGAGGTGGCCTGTTAATGAATTGTTTTGCACATTTAGAAGTTCTAACTTTGTCTTGTTATGAAGCAACCAAGAAGGAAGATTTCCCCTTAGACTGTTGTGCGAGAGATCAATTTCTCTCAAGTCATACTGTAGAGAGAGAAATTTCGGAATAATTCCTGCGGGCTTATTTAGGTTGCAGTTTGTCAAAACAAGAACCTTCAACTGAAAAGATGGAACCCAAGATGGATATTCAGTTTGCACCTCCAATTTGTTGCCACCACTCGATAGTTTAACCACTTCAAGTCTGGAGCTATTAGCAAATGAGCCAAACCAAAATGCACCTTCGAAATTATTATTTTCTAGAGATATATACTCGAGGGATGTAAGGCTAGTTATTAGAGAGGAAGGAATGCTCCCTCTTAATTGATTCTCAGAAAGATCTAACATTCTAAGAGATGTCAAATTGCTTAGACATGAAGGAATGACTCCTTCGAAGCTATTTCCACCAAGAACCAACTCTTGGAGGCTCTTCAGTTTACACAGACCTGCACAAAGGTAGTAATGAATCTAAGTTGATTGTGGCATATGTATGATTTAACCATACATTTGGTTATTTATGTTTTTTATACCCGAAATGAAATATGACAGCGAGTATCAATTTTACCTTGGATGGGGAGGGAGCCATTAAGTCTATTGTATGCAAAAGATAAAGCCTTAAGACTGGAAAGATTCCCTATTGATGGCGGGATACTCCAAGTGAATGAGTTATAACTCAGATCAAGAATCTCCAACTTTCTAAGTGCGACCAACCCTAAGAAATAGAAAAGAAAAAACAATAGTAAAAAAGGGTGTGAGATCCAATGTTTTAACAACCTGTAAATGGAATAGCTTTTCCCTATGGTGGAAGGTCAGTGGTTTAATCATCCAAGAGAAATGGATAAACCCATGATACCATAAATCAAATAATAAAATTATAAAAAGTAGATAAAATGCAGAAAAAGACAGAAAATTTGCAAAAAAATGGCAAGTCCCTAATGTTACATATTCATCATATCAATCAAAAAATTAAAAACTGAGACTTATGAATAACACAAATGGATAAAAGTACATTAAAAAATACAGAAAAAGAGAACTAATGTTTCACTTATGACCTGTTGACCAAGTCAAATGGTTCAATTTTACCAGCCAGGTCATTGGGTCATTGACAAAGTCAACTTTTTTTGCAAGTAAATAATTAAGGGGTTAAACTAACTCGAAAACCTAGCCAGTTGATATATTAACCGGTCTGATTGGTCAATTCAATCATAATTTGAAAACACTGATTAGATCCAGAGGGGGCCCATGCAAGTAATGGTTTCACGTCCACATTGCTTATTGAGATCTGTCCATATTGGAGTTGTGATGTTCATAGGTGGCCCTTTTCTTTTCTTTTCTTTTCTTGTTTTTAGCTTTTGGGTAATGGTATTCTATAGGTTCTCCATTTCTGGGATGCTTTTAACTTATCAAGTAACATGAATCCTCTTATGTAGTATTCCAAAATTGGTAAATATGGGTTTGCAGCAAGTGGATCTTGGATCTGATTGATTCTGTTGGTCACCCAACCTATGACATATTGACATGTATTCTTGAATGGAGCTTTTTAACCACCACAAAGTTTGGTGTCATTTGCTACTTTCTCTTTTTTTCCTACTTTTTATCAACAACATAGCCTAATAACTTTCCCTCAACTTTCTCTCTTATTTTCTATCAAATCAAACACCGCCCAAGTGTATGAGATCTCTGGCTAGTTGTAGCAGAGACTTGGAACATTGGACAGAAGCCCACCTTCGCCAGGGTTGGATGGATTTGTGGGACGGCCTACTCATTAAGCCAAAAAAGAAAAAGGTGAATTGCTGTTCTACAGTCAGTCAGTTTCTAAAGGGGCTAGGTATTTTCACTCTGTTGTTCAGTTATGGTGTGCCTTTTGCATCCTACTTTCCTAGAGACTTGATAATGAAGACTGCTTCTTAAACTATAACGAGAGTAAAAATGGACATACCTTGGATGGGCAGCGTGCCATTAAGTTGGTTCCCACTCAAATTAAGAACCACTAAATTGCTCAGGTTGGCTAGCTCTGTGCCCAAATAAGAAACAGAATGAAAAAGAATCAGGGCAAAGGGAATAACGAAAAAATTGATCACAAAAAGTCTCATCAGATAGACATACCGTGGGCAGATAGTGATCCCTCCATGCCATTGTTTTCCAGAGATAAGGTATTGAGGGATGGTAATGCACCTAAAAACTTTAGGATGCTTTTGTCGAAATGATTTCGACTTAAATCCAAACGCTTTAGCTTGATCAATCTCTCGTAACCTGAGGAATATATTCGAACACATCATGATCAACTTACCGGAAGACCACATCATGGGCACACTTGAAACGTTGTGCTATTTATAAAGATGAATAATTGTAACCATCACTCCAGTAGAATTGGAGGGTCTTGGAAAATCAACTGAATAATCAAATCAAGCTCAAGAGCGTAGCAAATAATCAAATTGTATACTAATTACAGAGATGAGTTAGGTTACCTTGAATGGGTAGGGAGCCATTGAGTCGATTTTCATTTAAATCCAAAATTTTCAAGTTCCTCAACTGGACTAACTCTGCAAATTCCCAGCCGTGCCATTTATTTTCAAGGTAAGAAAATAGTGTGCAAGAGAACCTACGTATAAATGCTCATTTTCATAGAAACAAAAGCATATGCACACCTTGGAGAGGAAAGGAACCTTCCAACTCATTAGAGCGAAGAGAGAGAGTCTCCAGGGATGTGAGAGCACCCAAAAATGGCAGGATGCTGTTGTTCAATTGATTATCACTCAAATTTAAGACTTGTAGCTTCTTTAGTCCAGCCACTCTTCCTCTGACGCCTAAATGTTTAAAGTAAACTCATGCATCAAATCATATTCAGCAGAAAATAGACTCCACCAAACAAATAAAAAATAATAAAGAATTGAATGGGTTAATTTGGACCCGAGAAGGGATAATAATTGAATAGACATTAGATACCTTCATTCCTGAAGCAACCATTAAATATACCAGATAAATCCAGATGTAGGAGCTCTTCAAAAGGAAGAAACAGGGTGGTATTCAGATGCCAGGGAGTTGGACCAAGATTCATGTTCCTTAGATCATTGAGGAAGAGCTGAGTGATTCGTCCAGTAGTAGGGCTACATATGACTCCCTCCCAAGTACAGCAATTACTTCCTTTATCATCAATCCAAGATGGAAGAAAATCACCACCAATATAACCAGTCGCATTGAAAGAAGACTTGAATTCTAAAAGAGCCATTCTCTCCTCTTCCATGCATCCCCAATACCCACGAAGCTGAACAATCAAGACCAATGAAATCCAAGACCATGTCATCCAAGGAGGCTCCATGTTTTCCACACAAAGATTTGAGCTGTTTGATCAATTCCCATTCTCTGATTTATAAAAATGAGAGGTCTTGGGAAACGGTGGATCAACCAGGCTACTTCAAGTTCCTTTCTTCTGTCCATTTTCTCCTCTCCAAGTCGCTCACAGTCTCACAGCCACAGTCAAAACCTGCGGCCTGAGATGAGAGGCTGAGACAGACTTTAAATGACGTTCGGTAATCAGTACTGTGGTGTAGTAGTCGACCCACGAGATGGTGGGTTTCGAATCACGACACAGAGGATGCAAACGGATTCAGATCGGATTCGATATATCCGAATCTGATCCGATATCTTTAACCGTAGATTTGATTCGATCCATTGGATATGGGTGATTTGAATTCTATTCGATTTTTATGTGGATCTTATTATCCAATTATTCGATTTTTAATTGCATTTGCACTCTCATGAATCATGATCTCATCACACCACTTTAATGCGTTTGGTTATAGAGTGGTGTGGTCCGAATCACACTATCATTCGGATTATACCACCCTCAAAAATATCTCCCCGACACTTGTCCTCTTCTTCTCTTTCAAATATTTTAAATGATAATTAATTAATTTTATTTTATTTATTATAAATTCAAATAATATTTTTAAATTATTTGTCTTATATTTAATTTTATTAATTATTTATTATTAATATTAGTTCTCTTATGTATATATTTTATATTTTTATATTATTTTAATTTTTAATAATTATTAATGTTTTCAATTCATTCAATAATTTTTTTTATTAATCCGTATTATTCATGATTAAATTGATCATACATTAAATTAATTTGTATTTTTCTTAAAAAACAAAAAGATAATACTATTAATTGATAGTGTAAATTCTCTCACATCATGTATATGAAATACATAGGATTCAAAACATAACATAACATAGGGTGTGGGATGTGTTAGGGGATCAGACTTAAATAACACCATGGACTGAGGGCCGCAATAAGACCAACCGATTTCACGGACTTTTCAAAAGAGAGTAAGCCATGATTTAAAGACAACCCCACGGTAGTACTGGTCGTGCTGGCCCGCAGGTCGTTATGGGCCGTGCTGTCTTCCTCGGTGAAAATTTTGAAAGTCAGCCCATTACAGCCCATGGCCTAGGCCCATGTGGGTCCATATTGTATCGTGGGTTGAGCTGGTTTGTAGGCCAAGCCTTGGTCCAAGTTGGGCCATGAATCGGGCCAAAGTTATTTTTGTCTATTTATTTAAAAAAAACTTAAAATTTTAATTTTATATGAATTTTGATACATACAATTGTTTATATATACAATAATTAAATAAATTAGTATAATATAATTGAAAAAAATGTTTATTTTATTAATATATTATATATTATATATTATTATATAATTATAATTTATATAATATCATATATATATATATAAATATATAAAATATATAAATATTATGTATATATAAATATAATACATATAAATAGTATATATAGGTCGTGTCGTGCCATGCTAGCCCGTGGACTTCAAACCCCAGGCCCAACACAGTACGAACCATCGTGTTAGGCCTGGCATGGTTCATGGGCTATCGTGTCATGTCGGGCCATGGGCGGCCCGACTCGATTTACACCTCTAGACAGTACCAGAAAAGCGAGTCCACTAGCACACATGCTAAAGGTAAGACATAGAGAACAAGCAAATTGAAAACCCGCTAAGTACCAAAACCGAGTCCGTGGATTGTATTCACTAAAGACAAAATTGATGTAGAATGATTTGGTTGTTCTCGTATGTTAATGATTTGGACACTGAATCTAATGATTTTCTTATCAATGGACCGAGTTGTGCTAGGCTGAGTTGTAATTGGTTGAACTGCTTTATTTTGCAAGAGAGACAAAATTAGAGTGTCTTTGTTGTTTTCACCTAGGATGGACACTCCGATGTTTAAGTTAAAGAGTGTTCTTGAGAGTTTTTTAGAGAATAAGAATGCTTGAGAGCTTAATTGCGCATACCTTTACTGGTAGAAATGAGGGCTTTATATAGGAGTGAGTGACCTGAGCCTTCTCACAACGGGTCTCATGTTCTCACAGAGTCATTTCTACTTAGTCAAGTGAGTTATTATGTTTGTTACGTAATTTGTGCGGGGTTTGCGGTCCATCCGATTAACACTGATGTGTGCAATGCGGTAGGTCGGCCTAACTATTGATGCATTAATGCTCCAAAGATCTCGAACTGGTAACATATCTACTGGACAGGTCAGCAAGCTCGCTTTGTAGGTCGCTATATGTAGGGAGGCCTGTTAGCTCGGCTCGATCGAGGTAGTAGAGGTTGGCCTGGGTGAGGTGTTTTAAGCTGATTTGCCGAGCTAGTTTGCTTACTTAGTGCCGATGTATCGTTTGAATGCCATGTGTCACGGTGTAATTCGGAGGACTAAATTACCCCTTATCAAAAGCATAGGGAACAAGTGACTTGGAAAAGCGGTTAAATACGATATAGTCGGTCTCTTGAGAAATGACGCATTTTAAAAGTTGTTGTTAAAGCCCACAATCCACTATCATCATTCAAATAAGTGGCCTTCTCGTTTTCTGGAAATTTAGACATGTAGCAATTTCTAAGAAATTCGTGCTAAAGCCCACAACCCACTACTAGGCTACAACCCCCCACCATTCAGACATGTGACTCTCATTTTTTTTTTTGAAAAGGTAGACACGTGGCATTTTTTGATAAGTTGTTGCTAAAGCCCATAGTCCTCTATCAACATTCAGACATGTGGCATCTTATTAATTCAAGAAATAAGTTTCAAAAAATTGGTAGTTTCACTCATAAACATTCTCAATAGACAATTATTTATTAACTCAACATATGTTTATCCATAGTCTATTAAATACAAATGGTGGGACCTTTTAAAAGAATACTATAAACCCACGTTTGTTTTTAAATGATTATTTTTCAAAAAAATACTTTATTAATTACAAACTTAATTTAACTTTTAAAAATAAATAACTCAAAATAGATTTGTTAGACAAATAGTAAATACTAAATAAAGTGGTTATTATTTATCAATAAGATTTCATTTAATATCTTAAATCAAATTAAAAAAACATAAATTAATAATTGATTGCAAATAAAATAGGTTTGAATAGGTTGCCAATTACAGAGATGCAAGACCCATATTACTCTTTTTTTTTAATTTAATTTTTGATAACTAAATAATAAACTTCGAAATAAATTGTACACATTTAATTACCCTGTAATTATTAAGAAGGTCATTGTCTAATATGGAATAAAAGCTAATTAGGAATTACCGCTTGACATGTGCCACTATATCAACAGCCCAAGGATTTAAAATTGTAACTAATAAACGAATTTTCTGGAATTCTTGGCAAAACCGTCTCTTTCTTTTTGATTATAAATAAGAGGGATCCTGACATTACAAACGAGAGCATCTATAACAAGACATATCAATGCTCCGATTATTATCTTACAGCTCTAATCTTATCCCCTTTTTCCAATCCTTAAAATTACTTTTCTCAGCTCTTTCCCCTATTATTCTTCCCCTGCATCCTATTCATTTCCTTCAAAACTAAAACCATCATTATAGTGTCGACTTTACTTGCAGAACACCTATGTCAGTGTGTGGTGCAGATTTTTGTCTACAATACATTTTATTGTGGCGTGGAGGGAGGTATGGTGTGGCTGAAATCACAGTACCCAATTTTTTATTCCCATTACAAAACACTCTATAAAATGATTGAAATTGACGTTGAATAAATTATTATAGTTGGCAAATTTCATCATTTAATTATTTTAATTAAGGTTTTAAAAATCAGATTGAAAATGGAACCATTTTGAACACCGGTTCCAGGGTTGAATGGTCTGACCGTTCGGTTCAAATAGACAGTCTATTCTAACTTAAAAAATTAAAAAATAAATAATTAAAACAAAAAAGCCAAAAATCGTTGTTCGAATTGATTGTTCGCTGACCATATCAGTGATTTTTGGCTCAAGAACGGTTTTGGGGTGAAACAGAACTGGTTAACTAAACAGTTCCCAAGTCAACCAATTTGACTGCCTGGAAATGCAGAAATAAGTCATTCTCAATTCAACAACATCAACCGTTATCAAACATCCGGTGGCAGCACCTCAAATTCACAACAGTTTACCCGTTATCTGCGAGTTCAGATCTGCGCCCCACAACATTCCATAGAATATCCCTGCTGTGTATTGGAAACATCTCCTGATGATGACATCATCATTTCTGGTACTATCATCGAGAGATGTTCCCAATACACGGCGGGGATGTGTTGTGGGGCACCCCCTTGTGGGGTGCAGATGTGAACTCGTTATCTGCATAGTTCTCAAACATCATGCATGATTTACTCCGATCAGTTGTGGGCCTGCTGCCCACATCACCTGTTTGACAATCACAATCAGCATATATACTTCATTTGGTGTTGTCTCCTTTCTAATTGTATCTCTATGATTCTATCCCTTTCAAGCACATAATAAAGGAGATTCATATGTGTGGTACACAACTGTTGGAGGGAGATTCAAAATTTCAAGAATCTCTCTCCTCCCTCTCTTGCTTTTGTCTTTTCCTCTTTCCACTCTTGAATGCATGAGAAGACTTCTTATCTCATATTGCTTTGGAAAGAAGTGGAGGTAGAATATATCTATAGCTTTGTTCTCTTTATGGGTAGTAACCCATGCATGTGAGGGGGGTTAGGGGTGCTTTTCACATGCGTAAGCTGAGCCAGGCCAGGTCAGGTCCTTGTGTGTGCAAGGGCGTGGGTGTGTGTGTGTATTTGTACGTGCGCATGAAGCACTGAATCAATTTTGCTTTTAACCAAATTAATTTTTTTTTAATTTCGAATTAAATGTTTTTGTGTCTCTTTGAATTTTGAATTTATTTTTTAACTTTAGATTTTGTCTCTTCTTTTCTATGTCTCTTCGAACAGGTGCACTGTTCTGAAGAGGCACCTGTCTAAACGGACACCTCTATGTCCATTTGGGTCTGAGATCACTCTATAAAAGGAGTGTTGGTCAACCCAGTTTTCACACATCAACATTTTCAACAGTCTTCTTCTTTGTCTTCTCTGTAAAATATAAGCATCACCTTTTGTGGTTCATAGAGGTCTGATAAGCGAGTGCACTCCTACCAGTGGCTTGTGGGTT